ATTCATTCCACAGATATTTATTGAGCTCTATTATGTGCCTGGCATTATTTTAAGTTGTGAACAAGACATGCGAGCTCCCTGCCCTGTGGAGTTTACATTCTGGTGGGGAGAAACATAATTTATGTCATCTGAGAAAGGGCCATTAGGGCTGAGAAGTGAATGATGAGAAGACTGCCATGCTATTTGAAATCAGGTTCCAAGCAGAGGGAACCACAGGCACAGGTCCTGAAATGGCATGTTTGAGTAGAAAGTTAGCTAGTGAGAATAAAGGGGAGGAGTGTAGCAGATGAAGTTAGAAGATAGGTACAAAGTGGGAATCCATGGATCACATTCAGCCCACCTCGTGTTTGAGATTTCACTAAAAACAAAAACAATCTTGACTTGCAATTGTTCTTGAAAGTTAAAAAAACAAACAAAAAACACACCAAAAAACCAACTTGATCATCCAGGCCACTATTCCTGAATGGCAATTAGTTTCAACATAGAGCAGTTATGCTTGCCTTTCCCCTCCTATCCCCCTTTAATTGGAGTGTGGTCATTAGTTCATCAGTAGTCGACATTTGAATTAGTGATTGCTGAGCGCCAAGTAGGCTTAAGGGCCAGGGTTCCCGCCCCCCTCTTCCCGCCCCCCAAGTGTGATGGAAGAATATATAGTTTTAAGTGACAGATTGACTTACCTAAATTTTAAAAAGATCACTCTACTTTGTTGGTAACAGACTGTGGCTAGGGAGGGGGAAATAGACAAGAATTGATGCAAGAGATGTTGGTGGCTAGGACCAGTGGAGACAGAAAGGAGTGGACAGATTCTGGACACACTTGTAGATTTGGGGACTAAGAAAAGGGAATGAAGGATGACTCCCAGGAATAAGGTCAAGGCTAGGGCTATAAATTGTGAGTCATCAATATATAGGTGATATTTAAACCCATGGGTATGGATGAGATCATTGAGGGAGGAAAGGTAGATCGAAAATAGGATATAGCTTTGGGATTTTTCTTTCTCCCTATTCAAATTTAAAGTTTCTAAATTCCTGGTATCATACAGGCTTCTAGATCTTAGTATTAAAAGAAATCTAAGGTCATCTTTCTAGCCACCATTCCTACCCATATATTTACTCAAATTCCCCCATACAACATCCAGCCAAGTATCTAGCCCATTGGTGCATCATAAACAGGAAACATAATACATCCATTAAGGCTTTCCAATTTTTTTTTTCTCTCTCTCTCTCTGATACTTAACTTTTAGGTGAGTCTCTCTCTTTCTCTCTCTCGCCTTCTCCTCTCCGAAAAGGAATACTATTGAGAGTGAAAGGGGACACTATTCATAATTACACTAAGAAAGCTGTCACTTTCCTGGGCAAACCTTGTAAGCAAAAGTAACAGTACTTAGGCCATCTCTGTCTTTAGACAGGCAACTTAAAAAATCTTTAAAAGGTGAGATGCCACTTGACTCATGGCAAAATTAAGGATTTAGAGTTAAATCTCAACAAAACCATCTGCTCTAACTCCTGGCTAGCATGGCTCAGTGGTTGTCTTGACCTATGAACCAGGAGGTAGTGCTTTGATTCCAGGTTAGGGGGCATGCAGGAGGTGGCTGATCACTGATTCTCTCTCATCATTGAAGTTTCTATCTCTCTATCCCCCTCTCTTCCTTCCCTTCCTCTCTGAAAGCAATAAAAATATATTTAATTTTTTAAACCTCTTTCTGGTTCTGACTTTCAAGAGTCAGGTTGGTCTTTTTACCACTCTTTCACATGTCATTTGATTCTCACCACACCCTGTGAGGTATCATCATTTTACAGTGAAGCAAACTAAGGTTCAGAGAGGTGACTTTCCCAAGATCACTAGCCATTAAAAGCTAGAATGGGAACCTGAACTTGAGTCTTATTTTCTCTTGCCAATTTTCTTGTTCTTCCTGTTACTCCATACTAATCTAGGAATTGTTACTATTAAAGGTTTTAGGTCTAAATTATATTCTTTTTCATGCAATTTTAATTCCACAGCCTCTTATTTTGTTCCCTGGCATGTAAAAGGTAGTCATTACTTCCATCATTAAATGAAAGCATTTTGTAGATTGTAAGGCACTGGGCAAATGTACATTTGAAGGCTAGTTAGGAAATCAGAATTTTTCTTCTCCACGTAGGGGAACTGTATTAAACTGGTAAGTGGGTGAGAGGATTACCTTTGTAGCATTTATAATAATTCTAATGTATTGTTGGCTAAATTATGGGGTTCTCTAAAAAGAGAACAAGAGATTGGAAGAAATCTTGGGACTAATTCTCACAATTTGGGAACATTGGTGGTATTCAGTCTAATGCCAAAACCCATTTGACCCAGTTCAAAGAGGTGTAAAGGAGCTCTCCAATGTGTGTAGCTGTTGATATGGCTCTCAGATCTAACAAGGATTCACTTGATTTTGGTCAAGATCCCATCACTCATGCACTGGGAGATTTTGAGAGCTTTTTTGGACTTCCTAAAAATTCAATGGGGTTTATGTGTGTAGTAACATACCTGGCAGTACTTAAGCTCTTCTTTAACTGTGTTATAATTGAGAACTCAACAACCTCAAGAATACTCAATTGTTGCCTTAGCTCAGTGGTTGGCAAACTGCCCTAGCTAGCCACATGCCGCTCTTTGGCCCCTTGAGTGTGGCTCTTCCACAAAATACCGACTTCTGTGCATGGGCCACGAAGTTTCAATCGAACTGTACATGCACGCCCGCACATGGTATTTTGTGGAAGAGCCACACTCAAGGGGCCAAGGAGCCGCATGTGGCTCGCGAGCCGCAGTTTGCTGACCACTGCCCTAGCTGGTTTGGCTCAGTGGACAGAACGTCAGCACATGCCCGTGATTGTGGACTCAATCCCTAGCAGGGAGCGTGCAGAAGGCAGCTGATCAATGATTCTCATCATTGATTTTTCTCTCCCTCTCTTGGGGGGGGGGCGGGGAATACAAATATATATAAAGCGATTGTTTAAAAAAAAAAAAGAGCACTCAATTGTTAACTTAGAGAAAGTTCCAACTCTTTACAGCATGGCAGTTGAGGGCCTCCACAGTGGTTTATAATCTACCTTTTCAATAACTCCCATTGTCAGGAATGAACACTACTGTAGTTAAATTGTTCTGCCCACTACCCCTGAGCATATTTAATTTTCCCACCTATATACCTGTTTTTGTTTTTTTGTTAACCCTCACCCAAGGATATCTTTCTATTGATTTTTAGAGAGAGTGGAAGGGAGGGGGAAGAGAAAGAGAAACACTGATGTGAGAGACACACATCGATTGGTTGCTTCCTGCATGTGCTCCCAACTGGGGCCAGGGATCAAACCTGCAACCCAGATACATGCCCTTGACTGGGAATTGAACTGAAACCCTTCTGTGCATGGGCCCATGCTCTAACCACTGAGGACACTGGCCAGTGCTCCACCTGTATACTTTTCTCTTTAAATCTCCACTGTCCTTTATGGTAGCCATTAGTCACATAGGGCTAGTGTGTACTTGAAATGTGGCCAGTCTAAACTGAGATGTGTTAGATACATCCAAATTTCATAAATGTAGAACCCCCAAATTGTAAAATATTTCACTAGTATTTAAATATTGATTACATGTTGAAACATTAGTATTTTGAATATACTTGCATTAAATTTATTGAAAATAATTTTGCATTTCTTTTTTTCATGCAATTACTAGAAAAGTTAAAAAAAATGTGTTTTGCATTGTATTTTTAAATGGACAGTGCTCTACATCATTAGCCTCGCCTCTTAAGCCAACATAAAACTGGACCAACCATTCAAGTCCATCTTTGTACCTTCTCATCTTTTGAAGTAATAAACAATGAATGATAGAAAACTCTGAGTAAGTGGTTTCTTTCATATAGTTGAAGCAGGCATGCCCATTCTATGTTATCAAACTGAAGTTGCTATCACCAATCAGCTGACAGCTCAAGAAAGCAAAGACTTTTTACCAAAAGCAGTAAGATAATGAATATTCTCAGTGTCAGATAACTTCTTTAAGGCATATACACTAAATAACTCTGCCAAACCCTTCAATTCTATCTTTATCTCTCCTGGTTTTTTTTTTTCCATTTCTAGTCACTGAAATGTTAACTCTTCCTGTGAAATTCTTTCACATCTATTCCTTTTCTCTCAATCCATAATTAAAGTCTACTATACTTTAAAAATCTAGTTTAGAAGTAGTTTGCCAGCTTCCTTTTCCCCTATCTATGCTCATTCCATTCCACACAGAATATATATTCCCTATTATATACAATATTATAGTGTATACTGCAACTTGAGTCATCTTCCATACGTTTTTAACAGATATAATTTTTTTGCTCAAAAATTTCCACTTCTCCCACATTGCCTACAGGAAGAATTCTTTCATCTAGCATTCAAAGCTTTTTAAAACCTTATCTCTGGTTCCTCTCCTCCATAATACCTGGTCTTTAAGGAAACTAGGCTGAGTGTATGTAAAGCATTTAGAATCCTGCCTCACTTATATTGTAAGAACTATATAAACCTTGGTTATTATTATTACTACTCATTTTTGACGGGGTTCAATTCCAGTCAAGGGCACATGCCTGGGTTGCAGGCTCGATCACCAGTGGGGGCGGGGGGGCGTGCAGGAGTCAGCCAATCAATGATGCTCATTATTGATGTTTCTCTCTCCTTTCCTCTCTGAAATAAAAAACAGTAGGAAAAAAAAAAAAAGCTGCTTAAGTGATATTCATGTGCACCTACATCCAAGAATCATTGGTTTACTCGAGAGAAACTTTGGGTTAAGGAGGCTGGTCATGTTTGGCATATATTTTTCACCATGTTCTCCTACAGCACGTGTTTGAAACAGAATACAGAGACTTGATTAGCTGTGAATGACTTATGAATCTATGAGTAGTGTTCTCCCACCCTCTTGAGTTTGACCTGGGGGGGGGTCCCAATACACTTGGTATTCATCAAAAACCTTGTCTGTTGGTCCTCCTTCTATTAATTTGTAAATTTCAAAAACAGAATTAAGCAAATATATATTTAACTATGTACAATATTTACAGCTTACAGATTTTCCAACCCCAAAGTATACATTTAAATCCGTATATATGTGAAAAAGTTGGCATTTTAACATATAACACTGAAAAAATTTCAAAACTTTACCTCAAAAATATTTTACACCAATTTTCCACAGTGCCATTTTCACAGGCTCATATTGTACTGCAACAACCTCGTCAGGTTATCAAACCTCCAGGAATGGAGTAACCAGTATATGGAGAGAGAGCACTTTTTTATGGGTATTAGAAATACTGGGTCCTTGAAATCCTATAACAAAGCCCCCTTCACCCTCCAATCCTGAGACAACAAATCCTGCAGTTCTCCCTCATCGTCGCTGTCAACATTCTCCTCTTCCTTTCTCTGCAGCTCGCTCATCGTCAGGACCTCTTTAAGCTGATGTTTTATTTCATCCTGGCGATTCCGCAGCTTTTCCACCCGACGGTAACACTCTATCTGCTCATCGATCTCCCCAATCTGCCGGTCCAACCGCCCCTCCTCATCCTCTTCAGCAACGATGGCTTCGGAAATAGTGTTGACCTGTCTCATGGCCTTTTGAAATTCGTCCCACTCTTTGTCCATCTGATCCTTCGGGGCGTCAACCTTTCGCACCCTCGCATCTATCTCAGGGTCGTCAAAAAAGCCTTCCGGCAATGCTTCCGCAGTGTTTTCTCTCCTTTCCACGATTTTCTCATGTATTTCTGCTTTCTCAATGGACCCCGAGTGAGGAACTACAGGGGCCTTGGGAGGATTTGCAGTCGAGAAGTCTCTAGGCAGCCCGCTGCTTGCTGCCTCCCGCGGGGAGGAAAGTGGGTGTTCCCTGCCCTGTGTGTCGGGCGGCTGCTTGCTGGCGTCCCCCTCTGTCCTTTCTCCCCCCTTCTCCTTCTCTTCCTCCTCCTCCTCCTCATCTTCATAATCAGGGAGTAAACCGAGTGCCGAAGTCTTACCGGGGGTCGCTCTAGTGGACTCCTTTCCTGCTTTGTCAACGTGGGTGTGCAAAGCGGACGTGGAGGGCTGCACCGGCGGCACCTGGGGGGCCCTCGGCCTTTTGGCGTCCTGGCCGTCGGAGTCCGGCGCCTTCCTCTTGGCGGACTGAGGCACTGCGCCGGCGGCCGGCCCCTGCGTGGCCTCCTTGGCGCCTTTCAGCTCGGCCACTCTCTCCCGGTGCTGCTTCCCCAGGACGTGCGTCTGCCACAGGAGCTCGCTCTTAACCGGGGCGTTACACAGGGCACAGCTCAGCTGCCCCAGACGGTTGTACTTCGCAAAGGGAGACTCTATGCGTTTCCTGTTGGTGCTCTGACGCTGCTTCTCCTTCATCAACCGCCGCAGTTCATCCTGACTCACCACTCGCTTTCCGGCCGAAGGCCGAGCCGAAGCGGGGGACGCCATCTTTGCGACCTGACCCACGGCGAGCCTGGCTTCCGCCTCGGCGATGCGTGATGACGTCACTTCCGTCCCGGACGAGGATTGGCTGGAGCTCCTGAGCGTGGACCGAGGCGCTGGGTTTTACCTCAGAATCGCGGCTCGGGCTGTTTGGGGCGGTCAGGTGGTCCTTCCACCGTCCGGCTATGGCTGCCATCAAGACCTTAAACGCCAAGGCTGAGGTGGCGCGGGCCCAGGCGGCCTTGGCGGTCAATATATGCGCTGCCCGAGGGCTGCAGGATGTGCTGCGGACCAACTTGGGTCCGAAGGGCACCATGAAAATGTGAGGCGGCGGTCGGAGCGGCGGTTAGAGCGGCGGTTAGGGCGCCGGGGGTGTGTCAGGTGTCGGGGCGCGATGTCGGCCGACGTTCCGCGAAGCGATCGGCGCCATGTGGACACACTGGGGATAGAGCCCACAACCTGGGCATGTGTCCTGACTGGGATTCGAACCAATGACCTACTGGTGCATAGGTCCATGCTCAACCACTGAGCCACACCAGCTGGGCTGGAGGATTTTTGATCAGCGAGCTGACTGAGTCATCCTGCTTTATAGAAAGATAAATGGAGGGTAGATTCAAATTCAGATATATGTGGATACTAAATAGTCCACACTGCAGATGATGATGACTGGAAATGGAGAGGAGGGAGTAGTTGGAAGAGGCTTTTAGGTTGTAGAATGACAGAATTTGATGCTCTAATAAATGTGAGGGATGAGGGAAGAAACTACACTGAGTGAATGAATGGTAACATTTCACCAAAATAAACCTGCAGGAAATTCACAAATGTGTGGCTTGTAGACTTCCAAGTACTCTTCTGGACCAAACCACTGTCATAACTCACCAACTGCACTTAATCCTTAAACTTGTAAATTGTCCGTTTGGAGTGAAATCGCCATAGCAGTCCATCTGGGGAAAAGTGATTCTGTGGGCTGCAAATGGGGTGCTTACTGTGGTATCTCTCCGGATGATGGAAGTTTTCCAAGCCCAGTTCCCTATATTAATGAGAGTGGAGTGGCAAGCGCTATGTCTTGCTTGACTCTTGCCATACGAAGTTAATAACATCACTGTTTTCTGAACAGGCTTGTTTCTGGTGCAGGTGATATCAAACTCACCAAAGATGGCAATGTGCTGCTTCATGAGATGGTGAGCTGGTGCTGCTGACTTTAATAAACCTTAATAAGCCTTAACTGAGAGCATAATACAGTTTGTATATCTTTAAACCGAGGCTTTCAGCTAAATATTGCAATCATGAGGTATACTTGTTGGATTAAACCTCAATAAAAAATGCGGTTTTTTTTGGCTGTTTTCAAATCTTAGTATAGTTTTAGTAATAGCTTAGGGATGCTTCCAAATTAGTTGAATCTTTTAAAGGGATCACATTATGTTCTTTGTAATCATGGAAAAGTAAAAAGTCCTTTGCAATTTTAGTAAATATATTTATCTTTGAGATTTAAGGATTTAATCTAATTTTGGAAATTTGCATTCTGAAGCAAAGACTCTTATAAAATGTTCAAGTCTCATTAGTTCTCGACTTTTAACTCTCGGTCTTGACATTTATTAATAATTGATAATACAAAACTTGTGAACTTGTAGAATGATGCTTATTTCATTTCTTTAAAAAATCTTTATTGTTTAAAGTATTACAGATGTCTCCCTTTCTTTCCCCATTGACCACTGCCCCCCTTCCTACTTCCTTCCCCTCTCCAGGCCTTCACCCTTATTTCATTTCTTTTTTTAAAAAAATATATTTTATTGATTTTTCACAGAGAGGAAGGGAGAGGGATAGAGTTAGAAACATCGATGAGAGATAAGCATCGATCAGCTGCCTCCTGCACACCCCCTACTGGGGAATCAGCTGCCTCCTGCACACCCCCTACTGGGGAAGTGCCTGCAACCAAGGTACATGCCCTTGACCAGAATCGAACCTGGGACCTTTCAGTCCGCAGGCCGACACTCTCTCCACTGAGCCAAACCAGCTAGGGCTCATTTCTTGATTTTACTATTGACCCGTAGGTTATCTTGTTTTTGGTAGACTATTTTTTATTTCTTTATTCTCTCTCTCTTTTAAATCTGTTGCTTGCTTTTTCCAGCAAATTCAACACCCAACAGCTTCCTTGATAGCGAAAGTAGCAACAGCCCAGGATGACATTACAGGAGATGGTACTACTTCAAATGTTCTAATTATTGGGGAGTTGCTAAAACAAGCTGATCGTTACATTTCTGAGGTATTATAATTTCGTAGAATTCACAGTCATGTAGTACTATATTTTGAATGGAAACTTGGGTTTGTTTTTACACTAGTAAACTGGTTTAATTTTATTTAATTTTTAAAATTGATTTCAGAGAGAGGGATGGAAATGGCTGCCTCCTGCACGCCCCCTAGTGGGGAATCGAGCCCACAACCCGGGCATGTGCCCTGACCAGAATCAAACCATGAACTGATTCATGGGTTGATGCTCAACCAGTAAGCCACAATAGCTGGGCAAATTTTAGAGGGCAAAGGTTAATGTTTATGAAGATATTTTTGGACAATTATAAATGAAAAGAATAATGAACTCCCCCCCCCCCCCAAAAAACAATGCCTTTTATTGGAATTATATACCTCTTTTTAGAATGGAAAATTTAAGAGATTGAAAAAGGTACAAAATTAGCCATGTACCCATGACTAATGCCTAAGAAAAAAAACACATCACTGATAAAGTTGAAACCAAATTGTGGTTTAAAAAAAACTGGAGAAAACTTACTATTTTTAAAATTAAATTTATTGAGGTGACATTGGTTAATATATAACATGTTTCAAGTGTACAATTTTATAATACATCACCTGTGTATTGCATTGTGTACTCACCACCCAAAGTCTAGTCTCCTTCGGTGACCATGTATTTGGCACCCCTTTACCCTCTTCATCCTCTCCCCACCCTTTCTCCTCTGGTAACCACCATACTGTTGTCTGTATCTATGAGTTTGTTTTATTTTGTTTGTTGACTTCTGTTTTATATCATACATAGGAGTGAAATCATATGGTTTTTCTCCTTTTCTGTCTGACATATTTTATTTATCACGATACTCTCAAGATCCATCCATGTTGTTGCAAATGGCAGTATTTTATCCTTTCTTATGGCTTAGTAGTATCCCATTATATATATATGTACCACATCATCTTTATCCAGTTATCTGTTGAAGGACACTTAAGCCATTTTCATGTCTTGGCTACTGTGAATAATGCTGCAATGAACATAGGGGTACATATATCTTTATGAATAAATGTTTTCAAAATTTTTTGGTAGCTACCCAGTGGAGGGATTGCTGGGTCATATGGTAGATCTATTCTCATTTTTTTAATAATATATTTTATTGATTTTTGACAGAGAGGAAGGGAGAGAGATAGAGAGTTAGAAACATCAATCAGCTGCCTCCTGCACATCTCCTACTGGGGATGTGCCCGCAACCCAGGTACATGCCCTTGACCGGAATCGAACCTGGGACCCTTCAGTCCGCAGGCCGACGCTCTATCCACTGAGCCAAACCGGTTTCGGCTCATTTTTTTTTTTGAGGAACCTCCATATTGCTTTCCATAGTGGCCATAGCAGTTTACATTCTCACCAACAATGAATGAGGATTCCTTTTTCTCCACATCTTCTCCAACATTTGTTATTTTGTGTCTTCTTGAAAATAACCATTCTTTTTTTAAATTTAAAAAAAAAATATTTTATTGATTTTTCACAGAGAGGAAGGAAGAAGGATAGAGAGTTAGAAACATCAATGAGAGAGAAACATGGATCAGCTGCCTCCTGCACACCCCCTACTTGGGATGTGCCCGCAAACAAGGTACATGCCCTTGACCGGAATCGAGCCTGGGACCCTTGAGTCTGCAGGCCGACGCTCTATCCACTGAGCCAAACCGGTTACGGCAGAAAATAACCATTCTAATAGGTAGTATCTCATTGTGATTTTGATTTGTATTTCCCTTATAGCTAGTGAAGTTGAGCATCTTTTCATATATCTGTTGACCATTTGTATGTCTTCTTGGAAAAAGTGTTCAGGTCCTCTGCCCATTTTTAATAGGATTGTTTTGTTGTTGAGTTGCATGAGTTTCTTATATATTTTGGGTATTAGCCCTTTATTGGAGTATTGTTTGCTAATACCTCTCCCATTTGGTTGGTTGCCTTTTTGGTTGGTTGGTTTGTTGATGGTTTCTTTTCCTGTGCAGAAGCTTTTTAGTTTGATGTTGTTCCATTTATTTATTTTTGCTTTTACTTCCTTTGCTTTTGGGTCAGGTTCATAACAGCCAGTTTGAGACCAAGGTCTGTAAGTTTAGGTACTTATGTTTTCTTCTATGTTTTTAATGTTTCAGATCTTACATTTAAGTGTTTAATCCATGTTGGGTTAATTTTTGGGTATGGTTTCAAATAGCAGTCTCATTTTATTCTTTTGCATGTGGCTTTCCAGTTTTTCCAACACTATTTATTGGAGAGGCTTTACTTTTCAAGAAAAATTTTGAAGGCTTCCACATTGTGAATTTACCTACTTTTCCAGTTTTCTTTCCCTTTATAAACTATCTACTCTAGTCAGACTCCTCCATTCACTAGCCTCTGAAATCATTACAGACATTTCTACCACTGTGCCTTTATTCAATCTGTATTCTTTTCTTGGTATTACTTACCTGTCTTCTCTAAGTATTTGAATTTTCCTCTCTTTCAAGGACAGTTTCAGCAAAGCATAATCTGGTCAAAGTGCTAAAATTAGTACTTTCTTGTGTGTTTCATTTAGTATTGGTAATTGTCTATTAATTCAGTACCTGCAACTTATTTCATAATTCTTTTGGCTGTTAGCAGTAGAAACTGGACTAAAAGTCACTTAAACAAAGAAATGATCTCCTATAACGGAACACAGAGAGATAAGGCAGGCTTCTCGGGCCAGTTGATTAAAAAATTCAGTCAGTTATCAAGAAGGTTCTTTCTGTCTCTTAGCCCTTCTACTTATAATGCTGTTTCATCATAAGGCTTATTTTCATCCTGACTGTAAGACTGTCAGAGGAAATCA